ATTGGTGCGGGGCTGCCCGCTGAGGGGAGTCCGTGCGGGGGCGGGGGCGGGGGCGGCCCCCCATCGCCCATCTCGGGTCCCTGTGGCACTCAGGATCTAGTGATGGCGCCGTCCTCCCCACGCCCCGCTGCCCCTGCGGCGGAGGGGAAGCGTTTCTCCAGAAGCATGAGAAAGGGTAGCCGGGAAGAGGCAGGAGCTGGAGTGAAAAACAAGCCTCGAGAGCCAGCGCAGAGCAGGCGCTGCTCTGGAGGACGCTGCCGACCCGGGGCCCGGCGTCCCCGCGTGGCAACAAACCCCCTTCCCTGCCCGCCGCCCTCCCACACCGCTTGCTCAGCTCCAGCCAACGCACTGCACCTACCGTGTTGCCTTAACACGCTCACACAGCTGTCCTGGGCCCACTCAGAATAAGTAATCCTCAGAGTCTGAAACCGTTACCCAGACAAGCCTATAAAAATATTTAAAACTATGGGAAAAGATTCTCTCCTGCTAGAGCCATTCCTGATCTGGTTGGAGGCACTGGGTTTACAAGGTTCTGGGGAGGGAAGTGGCCACCCCCAGCCCCACTGGTATTTCCGTAATCACAGAATGGTTGAGGGTGGAAGGGACCTCTGGAGATCATCTGGTCCAACCCCCCTGCTCAAGCAGGGTCCTCTAGAGCATGTTGCCCAGGATTGAATATCTCCAAGGAAGGAGACTCCACAACCTAGCTCAGAAATAACCTGGCAGAAAGTGGAAATTCTCTGGAGCATGGGTGAAGAAGAAGAGAAGCTTAATGTTCACCTGAACATCTCTTGGACTCAGAGGAAAACAAAACCAGGCAGACAAATGTCTATGATTCTTCAGGATAACAGCAAGGCCAACAGATGGAGAAACCGTTAATCTTCACTAAGTGATTTCCAAAGATTTGGCATAGATGATATCTGAGAGAGTTTATCACAAAATAATAGTCAAAAGGCTGAGCTGACAAAGGAAATACGGTGATTCCCATCACCACTGTCTGATGAAATAAAAAAGGGAAAATAAATAAAAATATAAATTTGGGAAAGGGAAAGGAATAAAGGACCCTCCAGACCACCCTTCACTAACCCCACCACTAGTTCAGAGCTCTCTCAGGTGGGTCTAAGGCATACTGAAGCAGGCCAAAGGGCTGCATCACCTGATCCTTGCAAAGAGAGGTTCTCTTCAGAGATCTACGGTGTGCTGTAGTCTGCTGCGTTAACTTCTGAAAGAAATGACTCCATTTCCCCTCTCAAACTTCAGCCCTAATGGAATGGAAACACTAGCAGGTAACTAACAGATGATCCAATAGTTGTCCAAAGACAGTGACTGAGGTAGAAGCACACTCTCTGCTCTTTTCATGCTCCCATTTTACAGACACAGGGCTTCTCCACTGCATTCAGCAAATCTAATCAACAAACAAGACTTCTCACGTTTGAGTTTTGACCCTTTGGGGAGCAAAGGGAACACTGCCATCAGGAAGAATAAGGAGCCCTCTGTCTAATGCTCAGGCAGTAGAGTTGCAGCTGCATGTGCTATGCTGACACAGGATAGGTCTCTTCTGGGGGAGGGAAAGGAAAAAAAAAAAAAAGAGCTCTGTCTCAGAAACAGTGAGGCTGTCATCTGTGTGATTTCACCCTCGCTGCTTTCTTTTGGAAACAACAATCACAGACCACAAGTTTAAAAATTCCACTAAATGGCAGATTATAGGAAGCAGCATGAATGTTGAGCTCTAACATTGTAAATATAGTAGGACCCTGCCTGGAACAGTGAACTAGTTAACCATCTACCTGTATTTATCTATGATTCTGTTAGAAGGAGGAAAGAGATGGAAGTTTCTTGGTCTCTAAGATATGTGACATACTTTGCTTACCCTGACTGCAAAGCTGGCAGTGGGCAGTGAAATTCATCCATTATGCAGCAGGCAATGTTTTATTTCTACTAACCCCGAAGCTCTTCAGAACCAAAGGCAGCAGAGAACTTCCTCTGCTGGCAATCCTACTGCATTCGCCCATTCTGTTTAGACCGCAAGTCCTGAAGGGAATATTTTAAGACAAAATGACACTTGCCTTTATGTCAGTGTCTCAATGCACTTCACATAAGTGCTTCATATTTCCTTGTGAAAGAGAAGAGAACAGACATCAAGAGGCGGAGTCCAGTTGCTATGGAAATTGAAACACTTAAAAGGAATTTGCATGTGGTTAAGCAGCAGGCTAATTTCAATGTGAAGACCATCCTTTGTTAGATATGTATTTGATGATATTTTCATGATCCTTTTCCATAGTCTTTGGGTTTCATCAGCTTTGTGTTCACATTGGTCATTCATCTCCAACTACAGATGGTTCCAGGACAGGGAAACAGGTAAAAAGTGATCTGAGCAATGCTGGTTACACACATTCTCACCTCTGCCTTCTAAAAAGGAAGATTCTCTTGGCCCATGGATGAGGCCGCTTCCTAAGACTCCCTCCCCACCCCCCTGGCAAACTCTGACACATGGGATTAAATTACATGGGGGAACTCTTCCAATCCTTTAGATCATGACACCAAGATCAGGAAGGCACAAAGTGCTTGGAGCTTTATTAGTCCCTGCAATACCCTTGGGCTGACAGTGGTCAGTGCTGGGTCAGAGGGACAGTGCAGAATCTCACTCTGCTGCTTAAGGGATATTTTAGAGAGGAGGTTTGAGTTTTGCTCTCAGGAGAGCATGGAAGAAGTCTCTGATGGTTTTCAGACAGCCTGAAGCAGCTTAGTAATACAGTACTCTCTTCAGCTAGTGGGAAGAGTCACTCTTCTTCCAGAAAGACAGGGGCGGCTCAGCCTGAGGAAGACTCCCACTGCCAAAGACTCCCACCATTATCTCAGATACGCCATGAGGCAGAACACAGCTCCAGGCTTCCATGCTGGCGACAATAGCACACAAGAACAACTTGGTGCAAGACAGCAAAATTAAAACAATGCAAGAAGCTGATGCTTCCATAAGTCATATGCAGAATGTCAACCATTTATGACACGGGCTCATTAATCCCTGTGCCACTTTCCACCAAATCACAGAGGCACAAAGAACACCTCAGTCTCCCATCCTTACATATCACCTCCCATTCTTCCTTAAGGCCCAGCATCTCAGCAAGTATGCTTTTGGAAAGGGGTCAAATACCCTGCAAAACCTATTAATGCCATTTCTTAAACTTTAAAGAGAGACTTCTCTTGACTATAGTAAAACATTGTCTTTGTGGGGCACAGAGTATGCCATGTTCATCACAATCCTAGCTCTCTTAACAAGAGATCAGAGGTGTAAGGCATGAGTTCTCAAGTGCAGAAGGTGCACGCACATGGTGAAGGAGTGGGGGGACAGTAGTCATAGGGACAATAATTTAATTCAATTAACTAGTCTTCCTCTGACAATGAAAAGAAAAGTCACCTCCAGAGCATGGAACAGCTTCTCTCTATGCCCTTCAGGAATAAGGGAAAAGGTTGCTGTGTCAATATATGACATGTTCTAACTGATGCCCCAAGTTACTGTCACGATTACTGAAAGAACAGGATACGTCCAACAACATCAATAAAAATCTCTTTTTAAGTTGATGCAGAACATACAGACAGCAGCATTCAAGGTAATTTCTGAGAAACAGTGTGCAGTTCTGGCAATTCCACTTTAAAAGGATGCTGAAACATTGTGCTCCATATGAGAACTAAAGCAATACACGAAATGTGGAAAATATACCTTGCAGCAAGAGACTAAACAACTCAATTTGTCCTCTCTGGAAATTAAGAGGTACTTACAAGGGAAAG